CATTATCAATATCATCTTTACCATTATCATTATTTTTGAAATCATCGTTATTGTCATTATTATTACAATCATTATTATTATTATCATTACTATTATGATATTATTACTATTATAGATAATATAATCATGAACATTATTATCATTATTGTTAATATTACTAATATTATTGTTTTTATCGTTTTTCTTATTTTTCATTCGTTTTAGTATCGATGAACGCCATTACGGGGAAATCATTACTACTGAACTTAATCAACGATCTGCCCGCGTAAGGTTCTTGGTCGATAATTAGTCATGGAGGCCTATCTGGCTCGTAGGAAGTCGTAAATTACAACGCCAGCGGAAGTTGAGCCCCCGCGTCTTCCCTGGAGATGTGGAAAGGGACGTGTTGTGGCTTCATCCGCGCATTCCGGGGCGAAGTGACCTGGCCTGTGGAAACGATAAGTCTCATCACGAACGTGTGTACGACAGTTGGTAGAGATATGGCCTGTTGACTGACTATAATAACCGAAATCTTCATGCACACGTGGATGAATTCCCTGAGTCGTAAATCGGGGCGGGCCCATGGTCGTCTTGTTGTAGGGGGGTCCTCGCGAAGGGCGGCGACATGTGGCGACCAGTCGGATGCTGCTGCTACTTGACGACTTCCAGACATCTGCAGGCGAGGATGAAAAACGCCGACACAAATAATCCATAGTTGCTGGGCACAGTGTACAAGCTTGTCAGTGGGTGCATCGTTCCGTGTTGCCAGAACATCTATCATTCGCTGCGACACGCCTTGCAAAAAAACCCGACGACCGAGAATGTCTGCATCACCAATGACGTTCGGGTATTCTCTTTCTCCTTTTAAAACTGCAGTCTGTAGGTTCAGATAAAAGTCTATTATAAGACATAGGTTGCGGATTTGAAGCATCTCTGAACGGCGCGGACGAGAGCTGCGGGATCGAATCCCATGCTGTGTGGGCGTGACACGAAGATCGCGGCGCCTGAGTCAAAAAACGTTTAATTCAATTAAGGCCATCCCTGTTCTCACGGAAATCCTCTCTCATCACGTTAAACTGAACATTAAGATCGCGAGACATGGCCTCATAACGCATCACCATTTCATAAAACATAATCAGACTCAAGTGGTTGGCTTCATCCGTTACTTGACACTGTGAAAAAACCCTCTCATGATCACGTTCGAGGGCTTGCGGCCTCGGAAACAACTTCGACCTGAGGAAGACCTGAAGGGTCTTGCGCGGGAGGAGGCTCAGGTCTAAAAAAAAAAAAAAAAAAAAAAAACACAAGCAAAAAGACGGCAGGAGTGGACCTCCTCCTCGACGGCACGAGCTGAAACTTCCCCCTCGACGGCAGGAGTTGACCTCCTCCTCGACGACAGGAGCTGGAACCTCCTCCTCGACGGCAGGAGCTGAAACCTCCTCCTCGGCCTCAGGAGCTGGGATCTCCTCCTCGACGACAGAAGCTGAAATCTCCCCCTCGACGGCAGGAGCTGGAACCTCCTCCTCGACGGCAGGAGCTAGAACCTCCCCTCGACGGCAGGAACTGGGACCTCCTCCTCGACGACAGGAGCTGAAACTTCCCCCTTGACGGCAGGAGCTGGAACCTCCTTCTCGAAGACAGGAGCTGAAACCTCCCCCTCGACGGCAGGATGTCGTACCTCCTCCTCGACGGCAGGAACTGGTATCTCCCCCTTGACGGCAGGAGCTGAAACTTCCCCCTCGACGAGAGGAGTTGACCTCCTCCTCAACGGCAGGAGCTGGTACCTCCTCCTCGACAGCAGGAGCTGGAACCTCGACGGCAGGAGCTGAAACCTCCTCCTCGACGGCAAGAGCTGAAACCTCCCCCTCGACGGCAGGAGCTAGAATCTCCCCCTCGAAGGCCGGAACTGGGACCTCCTCCTCGAAAGCAGGAGCTGGTATCTCCTCGACGACAGGAGCTGAAACCTCGCCCTCGACTGCAGGAGTGGACTTCCTCCTCGACGGCAGGAGCTGAAACTTCCCCCTCGACGGCAGTTGACCTCCTCCTCGACGGCAGGAGCTGGAACCTCCTCGACGGCAGGAGCTGAACCCTTCCCCTCGAAGGCAATTGACCTCCTCGACGACAGGAGCTGGAACCTCTTCCTAGACGGCAAGAACTGAAATCTCCCCCTCGATAGCAGGAGTGGACCTCCTCCTCGACGGCAGGAGATGAAACTTCCCCCTCGACGGCAGGAGTTGACCTCCTCCTCGACAGCAGGAACTGGAACCTCCTCCTCGACGACAGGAGCTGAAACCTCCTCCTCGACGGTAGGAGCTTGGATCTCCTAGACGACAGAAGCTGAAACCTCCACCTCGACGGCAGGAGCTAGAACCTCCCCCTCGACGGCAGAAACTGGGACCTCCTCTTCGACGGCAAGAGCTGGTATCTCCTCGACGACAGGAGCTGAAACCTCCCCCTCGACTGCAGGAGTGGACCTCCTCCTCGACGGCAGGAGCTGAAACTTCCCCCTCGACGGCAGGATGTCGTACCTCCTCCTCGACGGCAGGAAGTGGTATCTCCCCCGTGACGGCAGGAGCTGTTACCTCCTACTCGACGGCAGAAGCTAAAATCTCCTCGGCGGCAGGAGCTGAGACCTCCTCGACGGCAAGAGTGGCCCTCCTCCTCGACGACAGGAGCTGAAACTTACCCCTCGACGGCAGGAGCTGAACCCTTCCCCTCGACGGCAATTGACCTCCTCCTCGACGGCAGGAGCTGGAACCTCTTCCTCGACGGCAAGAGCTGAAATCTCCACCTCGACAGCAGGAGTGGACCTCCTCCTCGACAGCAGGAGCTGAAAATTCCCCCTCGACGGCAGGAGTTGACCTCCTCCTCGACAGCAGGAGCTGGAACCTCCTCCTCGACGGTAGGAGCTTGGATCTCCTCCTAAACGACAGAAGCTGAAACCTCCCCCTCGATGGCAGTTGACCTCCTCCTCGACGGCAGGAGCTGAAACCTCCACCTCGACGGCAGGAGGAACTCGACGGCGGAACTCTCCCCCTGGTATCTCCTCGACGCAGGCTGAAAGCTCCCCTCGACGGCAGGAGTGGACCTCCTCCTCGACGGCAGGAGTGGACCTCCTCCTCGACGGCAGGAGCTGAAACTTCCCCTTTGACGGCAGGAGCTGGAACCTCCTCCCTCGACGGCAGGAGGGTGGAACCTCCTCCTCGACGCAGGAGGTAGGAACCTCCTCCTCGACGGCAGACTGGAACCTCCTCCTCGCAGGCAGCTAGGAACCTCCCCCTCGACGGCAGGGAACTGGGACTTCTCCTCGAACAGGAGTTGGTATTCCTGCACGCAGGAGCTAAAACCCTCCCTCCTCGACGGCAGGAGTGGACCTCCTCCTTGACGCACGAGCTGAAACTCACCCCCGACGGCAGGAGCTGAACTCCTCCTCGACGGCAGAAGCTGAATCTCCTCTCGACGGCGGAGCTGAAACCTCCTCCTCGACTGGCAGAAGTACATCCTCGATGGCAGAGCTGAAACCTTCCCCCTCGATGGCAGGAGAGACCTGACCTCCCCTCCTCGACGGCAGGAGCTAGAACCTCCCCATTCGACGGCAGGAACGGACCTCCTCCTCGAAGGCAGGAGTGGATCTCCTCGACGAAAGGAAGCTGAAACCTCCCCTCGACGGCAGGAGTGGACCTCCTCCTCGACGGCAGGAGCTAAAACTTCCCCCTCGACGGCAGGAGCTGGAACCACCTCCTCGAAGACAGGAGCTGAAACCTCCCCCTCGACGGCAGGATGTCGTACCTCCTCGACGGCAGGAACTGGGACTTCCTCCTCGAGGGTAGGAGCTTAAATCTCCCACTCGATGGTAGGAGCGGACCTCCTCCTCGATGGCAGGAGCTGAAACTTCCCCCTCAACGGCAGGAGCTGACCTCCTCCTCGACGGCAGGAGGTGAACCTCCTCCTCGACGGCAGGAGCTAGAACCTCCCCCTCGACGGCAGGAACTGGACCTCCTCCTCGAAGGCAGGAGTTGGTATCTCCTCGACGAAAGGAGCTGAAACCTCCCCCTCGACGGCAGGAGTGGACCTCCTCCTCGACGGCAGGAGCTGAAACTTCCCCCTCGACGGCAGGAGCTGGGACCTCCTCCTCGACGGCAGGAGCTGAAATCTCCTCCTCGACGGCAGGAGCTGAAACCTCCTCCTCGACGGCAGAAGTTGACATCCTCGATGGCAGGAGCTGAAACTTCCCCCTCGATGGCAGGAGTTGACCTCCTCCTCGACGGCAGGAGGTGGAACCTCCTCCTCGACGGCAGGAGCTAGAACCTCCCCATTCGACGGCAGGAACTGGGACCTCCTCCTCGACGGCGGAGCTTGTATCTCCTCGACGACAGGAGCTGAAACTTCCCCTCGACGGCAGGAGCTGAAACCTCCTCCTCGACAGCAGGAACTGATATCTCCTCGACGGCAGGAGCTGGTATCTCCTCGACGACAGGAGCTGAAACCTCCCCCTCGACGGTAGGAGTGGACCTTCTCGACGGCAGGAGCTAGAACCTCCCCTCGACGGCAGGAGCTGAAACCTCCTCCTTGACGGCAGAAGCTAGAACCCCCCCCCCCCCTCGACGGCCGGAACTGGGACTGGGACCTCCTCCTCGAGGGCAGGAGCTGGTATCTCCTCGACGACAGGAGCTGAAAGCTTCCCCTCGACGGCAGGAGTGGACCTCCTCCTCGACGGCAGGAGCTGAAACCTCCTTGACGGCAGGAGCTGGAACCTCCTCCTCGACGGCAGGAGGTGGAACCTCCTCCTCGACGGCAGGAGCGAACCTCCTCCTCGACGGCAGGAGGTGGAACCTCCTCCTCGACGGCAGGAGCTAGAACCTCCCCCTCGACGGCAGGAACTGGATCTTCCTCCTCGAAGGCAGGAGTTGGTATCTCCTCGACGAAAGGAGCTGAAACCTCCCCCTCGACGGCAGGAGTGGACCTCCTCCTTGACGGCAGGAGCTGAAACTTCCCCCTCGACGGCAGGAGCTGGGACCTCCTCATCGACGGCAGGAGCTGAAATCTCCTCCTCGACGGCAGGAGCTGAAACCTCCTCCTTCGACGGCAGAAGTTGACATCCTCGATGGCAGGAGCTGAAACTTCCCCTCGATGGCAGGAGTTGACCTCCTCCTCGACGCAGGAGGTGGAACCTCCTCCTCGACGGCAGGAGCTAGAACCTCCCCATTCGACGGCTGAACTGGGACTCCTCCTCGACGGCGGGAGCTTGTATCCCTCGACGGACAGGAGCTGAAACTTCCCCCTCGGACGGCAGGAGCTGAAACCTCCTCACAGCAGGAACTGATAATCTCCTCGACGGCAGGAGCTGGTATCTCCTCGACGACAGGAGCTGAAACCTCCCCCTCGACGGTAGGAGTGGACCTTCTCGACGGCAGGAGCTGAAACCTCCCCCTCGACGGCAGGAGCTGAAACTCCTCCTTGACGGCAGAAGCTAGAACCCCCCCCCCCTCGACGGCCGGAACTGGGACCTCCACCTTGAGGGCAGGAGCTGGTAGCTCCTCGACGACAGGAGCTGAAAAGCTTTACCCTCGACGGCAAGGAGCTGAAACTTCCCCCTTGACGGCAGGGAGCTGGAACCACCTTCTCGAAGACATGAGCTGAAACCTCCCCCTCGACGGCAGGATGTCGTACCTCCTCGACGGCAGGAACTGGGACTTCCTCCTCGAGGGTAGGAGCTTAAATCTCCCACTCGATGGTAGGAGTGGACCTCCTCCTCGACGGCAGGAACTGAAATCTCCACCTCGACGGCAAGAGCTAGAACCTTCCCCTCGACGGCAGGAGCTGGGACCTCCTCCTCGACGGCAGAGCAGAACCCTCCTCTTCGACGGCAGGAAGCTGAAACTCCTCCCCTCGACGGGCAAAGCTTGACCTCCTCCTCGATGTGCAGGAGCTGAAAACTTCCCCTCAAACGGCAAGAAGCTGACCCTCCTCCCCTCAGAGGTAGAACCTCCTCCTCGACAGGCAGAGAGGTGGAACCTCCTCCTCGACGCAGTGAGCTAGAACCTCCCCCTCGACGGCAGGAAACTGGGACCCTCCTCCTCGAAAGCAGGAGTTGGTATCTCCTCGACGAAAGGAGCTGAAAACCTCCCCCTCGACGCAGGAGTGGACCTAACTCCTCGACGCACGAGCGAAACTTCCCCTCGACGGCAGGACTGGGACCTCCTCCTCGACGGAGAGCTGAAACCTTCTCCTCGACGGCAGGAGCTGAAACCTCCTCGACGGCAGAAGTTGACATCCTCGATGGCAGAGCTGAAACTTTCGATGGCAGGACCTCCTCCCTCGACCAGGAGGTGAACCTCCTCTCTCGACGGCAGGAGCTAGAACCTCCCCCCTCAGGGACGCAGAAACTAGGGACCTACCTCCCTCGACGGCAATAAGCTGGTATCTCCTCGACGAAAGGAGCTGAAACTTCCCCCTACGACAGGAGCTGAAACCTCCTCCTCCACAGCAGGAACTGATATCTCGCTCGACGCAGGAGCTGGTATCTCCCTCGACGACAAGGAGCTGAAACCTCCCCCCTCGACTAGGAGTACCTTCTCGACGGCAGGAGCTGAAACTTCCCCCTCGACGGCAGGAGTTGACCTCCTCCTCGACGGCAGAGAGCTGAACATCCTCCTCGACGGCAAATGAGCTGAAACCTCCTCCTCGACGGCAGTGACCGCAGATGCAGGGAGCTGAAACTTCCCCCTCGACGCGCAGGAGTGACCTCCTCCTCGACTGGCAGGAGGTGGAACCTCCTCCTCGACGGCAGGAGCTAAGAACCTCCCCCTCGACGGCGAGGAACTTGGGACCTCCTCCTCGAAGGCAGGAGTTGGTATCTCCTCGACGAAGGAGCTGAGAACCTGCCCCCTCGACGGCAGGAAGTGGACCTCCTCTTGGCGACGGCTATGAAGCCTAAAACAATTGGCCGCCCTCCGACGGCAGGGAGCTGAAAACCACCTCGTCGAGAACAGGAGCTGAAACCTCGGCCCTGACGCGAGGATCGTACACATCGTCGA